AAAGAAAGAAAGAAAGAAAGAAAGAAAGAAAGAAAGAAAGAAAGAAAAAGAAAGAAAGGAAGGAAGGAAGGAAAAGAAAAAAAAGGAGAAAGAGAAAGAAAGAAAGAAGAAAGAAAGAAAGAGAAAGAAAGAAAAAAAGGAACTCACATTTGGAAATTTTTGTTTGATAGCCTGGAATTTAACTTTACAGTAATATGGTAAACTGCACAAATGAACACAACCCCACAGTGTACACAGGTTTATTATGGCTTAAATAGACCATCTGTATGTGCTCAAGTTTGCAACTAAAATTAATAAGGTTGTGTTACAGCTTTAAAATCCATGCAGGAACGTTTTCAGGAAGCAAAGTGCTATGGTATTATCTAATGGCAGGTTCTGAGGCAGGCCTACAGCAGGGCTGCATTTACTTGGCACGATATGCTTTCTGTGTCCCAAGGATTCTCTTGGGACATACTGACTTACCTGGAGAGGTGAACAAACTCACTGAAGAATGCAGCCTACACTCCAGACGTGCATTTACCTTTACACACAACAGCAGGACAGAGAAGCTGTGCTTGGCATAGGGCCAGGCAAGCCGTTGACAGCAGGTTAAGAAGGAGAACTCTGCAAATAGACCACAGAGTCTCAGGACTGGGTCTACTCACTAGCTTCCTAACATTCTGGCAGAGAGTGGCATTCTTTATAAGGTAAGAAAGAAATTTTCCCTGATTTGGATCTAGAAAGTTTTATGCCTAAAATAAATATGATTCATGTCCTGGGAAAGCTTGGTTCTGATGAACTCTGTGTCCTTGGCTGACTTATACCTCCCTCACCCCTTAAAATCTGACTTCTGATTCAGGGGTGAAAACTCTACCCTTTATTTTCAAGGTCCAGGAAGACCTGAACCCTCAGAAAGTCACTCAAGAGGAACCAGTCTTTGGGACAGAATTATGCAGCTTATGTCCCAAGTTTGTTTGAGCTCCAAAGATCAGAAAAGCATAATTCTATGGTTTTCCCCTTTTTACTCTACCACTGGAAGTCCCCTAAATTTACTTAACAGTATTTCCCTGAAGCTATAAAGCCAAGCTATTTTGTTCCCCTTAAGTCAGGAATGTCTTAATATGTAAATACGAATTCCACAGAGATTTTGCTTGACTAGTATAGTTTTAAGCTGTCAAATTAGTTCAGTGAATTAAGTAAACTCCATTAACTGATTTTTTTAAACTAAAAAAAATGTTAATTTGAAACAAAAATTTCCCCAGGCATTGCATATTTAATCTGGACCCCCTACTTTGACAATTTTACTTTAGAGCAAAATAGTGGGTAACAGCATGTCAATCAGAAGCCTCAGTTTTTTGTTATAAAATATTGAAAACTAGTAAGATGTTTGTTTATTGAAAGAACAGCAACACAAACTGAAACAAACCTATACAAAAACAATAGACATCATGAAACAGAAAACAAAAGTCAGTGGGGAGAATCAATATTGACTCAGACTCATGGCAGTTTCTATCTAGGGCACTCCCTCTGTGTGCCAGGCGCACACGAGCCATATGTGCCATATGTCATCTAATAACATCAGCGAAAAATCATCATTCACATTCTCTTGGTGCAGAATACATAGACCTGATTATGGAACCCCTGGGAAGTGGTTTCTGGATGTGTTTTCTGGTGGCGTTTTAACGTTTCAGGTCGACCGAAGGCTCTTGGACACTTGGAACATTTATAGGGTTTCTCTCCAGAGTGGATGCGCTTGTGCTGGTTCAGGTTCTTCCTGTAGGTGAAAACTTTATTGCAGTCTTTACATTCATAGGGCTTCTCCCCTGTGTGGCTCCTCTTGTGACATTTCAAGGAGAACATCCTGGTGAACCGCTTGTAGCAGACGTCACACATGTAGGGCTTCTCACCAGTGTGGATTCGCTGGTGAACTCGGAGGTCTGAGAGCTGCATGAAATGCTTCCCACAGAGATTACATTGAAAGCGTCTCTCTCCTGTGTGTGATCTCTTATGGATGACTAGCTTGCCGTAATACTTAAACCTTTTATTGCACACATCACATGCAAGGGGTGGCAGTGCCATGGCTTCTTGGCCAACAGGCTGACTGACTGCACCTGCAGGGCCTGGGGAACGAACTGGATTTACCCTAGCTTGCCCCAGGCTGTCTGTGTTGCCCACAAGTGAGGCTCCTCCTTGAGGCCCTTCTTGGGAAATAGAGGAAGCATCTGGTTTGCTTCTTTTGGGACCTCTCAGATTCAGAGAGTCTCCTCTGCTCTCGCTGTGAGTTGAAGCTTCTCTCTCCACAATGCAGGCAGCAGGTATGTCAGCATCCACATTTTCCCCAGAGGCTTTTTTTGGTTCCTTCCCCTCCTTTGCTCTCACCACACCTGTGGGACCCTTTGGAAGCTGAGACTCTGAAGATGTAAGTCCTGTATTCTCTTCCCTGTCTACGTTGCGATCCTTCTCCAAGTTCGGTTTGGGTCTCAGGGCCTTTGGGTCACCTTTTATGACAACAGTCTCTGGCAGCAGGATGTCCTCTTCCTGTCCCCTGGACAGTGCTGGGATCCTGGGAAAGGTCTGTAGCTCTTGGCTGGCCTGGCCTTCACCTGGAGGCATCTCATTCACAGAGGAGGCGTGCTGGCTGGACATGTCTCTCAGATCATCCCTGACACTGGCGGGTGCTTCGGGTATCTCAACATCTGAGTCCTGCGTAAGATATTCCTTGCCAAGCAAGTTAACCACAGACCATTTCTTGGGTTTTCTGTTATTTCGCAGCAGGTCTTCCAGGTCTTTGCAGCTCTGCACACCGTTCATCATGACTAAGACCTGGAGCTCCTGGGGCATGGAGATCATGAACTGCTCCATCACCAGCATGTCCAGGATCTGTTCTTTGGTGTGGAGGTCAGGCCTCAGCCACAGATGGCACAGCTCAGTGAGTCTCCTCAAAGCCTGGAGGGGGTCCAACTCTTCCGGGCAGCTGAACATCCTGAAGTTCACGTGACACGTCTCAGGGTCTCGGTCATGATTTCCAAGTTGAGTTTCTTCAGACGCCACAGACCGTGGCAGCTCTGACCCAGGGCTGTTGCAGGGCTCTCGCTGACCCCATGAGGGTGTGCAATTTGCAGCCATATCTAGTGGAGAATATTTTAATCAGTCTCTGAGGAAGCTCTTCCAGTAGCTGGTGTCTAATTGGGACCTACCTACACAGGTCTCCTTTGGTTTTCCTCAGTAATACAGTCACTGTTTGTTCAGAAGTCTCCTTCATGCTTTCTGCCTCCAATCTCCCTGCATCTGGGATTCACACTCCTGATTTCTTTTTCTATTGCAAATTAATATGTGGGTCATCTCTTCAGATACATGTGTTTTAGGCTGGGTGCGGTAGCTCACACCTGTAACCCTAGCACTTTGGGAGGCCGAGGCAGGCGGATCATCTGAGGTCAGGAGTTCAAGACCGGCCTGGTTAAAAGAGTGAAACCCTGTCTCTACTAAAAAACACAAAATTTAGCCATGCGTGGTGGCAGGTACCTGTAATCCCAGCTACTTGGGAGGCTGACGCAGGAGAATCTCTTGAACCTGGGAGGCAGAGGTTGCAGTGAGCTGAGGTCATGCCACTGCACTCCAGGCTGGGCGACAGAGCAAGGCTGGCTCAAGAAAAAAAAAAGAAAAAAGATATGTGTGTTTTAAACTTTATGCATATTATCAATCAGTTATGTGATAAAACCATTAAATTGCTCAAAAAAAAGTATTCTTAACTCATAAGATTAACCAATTTTCTTTAAACAAGGCCAGTTTTTAAAATAGATCTGTCAAAATCTGTTTGAATAAAAAAATTAAAAATCACTAAAAATAAACAACAGGAGATTCAATTCACAGCAACCAATTAGAAGAGGCCTAGTTTACCTGAGCCAGCATAAGGAAGTCCCCTCTGTTTTAACCCTGTAAGAAAAGGAACTTTGTAACAAACAATTCGCTTTTTGTTCCTTGTTTCTGCTTTCTTTAGCCTTCTTCTACCTATAAAGCCTACCTCCTGTGCTCAGCTAATCAGAGCACCTTTCTAATTTTATAAGGGATGCTGTTCCATTTACCAATGGCTAAATAAAAGCTAATTAGATTTAAATGAATGTCAAAAAATTTTGACATACCTATATATGCATGATACAAGTATCACAAGCACTTCATAAAACAGATACAGTATATGTAATAGAATATAGTAATTGTGGCCAGGTGCTATATCTCACGCCTGTAATCCCAGCACTTTGGGAAACTGAGGCAGGTGGATCACGCATGGACAGGAGTTCAAGACCAGCCTGGCCAACATGGCGAAACCTGTCTCTACTAAAAATACAAAAATTAGCTGGGCATGGTGGTGGGCCCCTGTAATCCTAGCTATTTGGGAGGCTGAGGCAAGAGAATTACTTGAACCTGGGAGGCAAAGGTTGCAGTGAGCCAAGATCACACCATTGCACTACAGCCTGGGCAACATGAGCGAAACTCCATCTCAACAACAAAATTTAAAAAAATATATATATATAGAAATTGCAGTATTTGGAGTAATTTTCTGAACAGTAATCTCATTATCCTTTTTTCTTAAGTTGCATTTAGTATTCATCTGTTTATTTCTTATGATATGGAAAAATGACATCCATAGGGCATTTTTTTCTTCCAAATAATGAAAATATCCTGTGAAATATTTGGAAATTCATAACTATCTTTCGAGGTTTCTGATTTTCTTTCTGCTTAGTGGCTTATTTCTAGTTATAAAACAGCTAAATAAAAATATAACTCTATGACAAATTCCACTATTTACATAAACACTTATAAATTCTGTATACACAATTTATATTTCTTCTTTCATACAGCGATAATTGGAATTCCAAGCAAATATACCCCCCCAAAAAACTACAGTGATTACTTAGTTTATATCAATATGTGGTATTCAGACTTCCTGGGGCTGTGTGCTAACATGCAGATTCCAGGACTTCACCTCACAAATTCTGTTTTCAGTATGTCTGAGGTGGAAACAGAAATCTGTATTTTAATAACATTGTCATGTTATTTTTATGCCCAATGAAATTAAAAAGCCATGTATTTAAGAGACATTTGTTGTATTTTTCTCATGAATCAATTTTGTACCTAATTTTGCCTTGAATATTTAAAATTTTTTCTTTAAAAAAATCTCCCAAGCTGTATAAGTTTCAAGTACCACAAAAACCTCAATCTACTCCTGCTACAGGTGATCTTATAATTCATATTTTTATATTTCTAAATGATACCCACAGATCATGTAATTCAAAGAAACATGATGGAAACCTTGGAAAATTTCAAAAGGGGGATGTGAAGAGACTACAACTAAAATAATGAGGAAATGCAGCACGTTTCCAGAAGTTGCTACCTGTGCAGAAGGGTCCACAGCCACCAATTCTCAAGCATGAGTGCATGGAAGAGGTAACAAGTTATATGGTCATGGGAACAGCTGGCCTGTAGTGCCCATTGGAGAACCACTCCTAGTACAAATTAAGGTATTTGATTAGATGGTATTTTGTAACCAACTAGAGGTTTAACTCTCATACCATTCCAGGACTGACTGTACTCCTCCCAAATTTGGACTGAGGTTAAAAATCAAAAAAAAAAAAAAAAAAATGCTGGGTACGGTGGCTCAGCCTGTGATCCCAGCACTTTGGGAGGCTGCGGCAGGTGGATCACTTGAATCAGGAGTTTGAGACCAACCTGGGCAACATGACGAAAACCGGCTCTACGAAAAATACAAAAATTGACCAGGCATGGCTGTGTACACCTGTAGTCCCAGCTACTCAGGAGAACTGCTTGAACCTGGGAGGCGAAGGTTAAAGTAATTCAAGATCATGCCACTGCAGTCCAGCCTGGGCCACGGAGCAAGACTGTTAAAAAGAAAAAAAGAAGAAAAAAAAAAGAAAGAAGAGGGCCAGGTGCTATGGTTCACACCTGTAATCCCAGCACTTTGGGAGGCCAAGGCAGGTGGATTGCTTGAGCCCAGGAGTTCAATACCAGCCTGGCCAACATGGTGAAATCCTGTCTACTAAAACCACAAAAATTAGCCAGATATGGTGGTGTGTGCCTGTAGTCCCAGTTACTCAGGAGGCTGAGGCAGGAGAATCGCTGGAATCCAGGAGGCAGAGGTTGCAGTGAGCCGAGATGGCACCACTGCACATATCAGCCTGGGCGACAGAGCAAGGCTCTGTCAGAAAGAAAGAAAGAAAGAAAGAGAGAGAGAGAGAGAGAGAGAAAGAAAGGAAAGAAAGAAAAAGAAAGAAAAAAAAAGAAGAGAGAAATATTACATATGCACTAGATACATCAACCATCTTCTTCCCACCCATGACCTATTCAAAGAGAATCTGTCCTCTACCTGCAATACAGTGGTCATACTTATCTCAGGTGACCCATAGACAACTGATTCAGGGTGAGCCAATTCTATGTTCTCCTTTGAGAAACTGTTCCTATTGTGCAGAGAAGTTCTGATGTGTGGGTGCATTTGGACAAACCTAACACCATGACAAATCAAAGCCTTGGGTCAGAGTTATGGGAGGGCAAACCTCAAGAACCTTGCGAAGATCAGAAAGAATGAAATACATGACAGTTTTCACAAAAAGCAATTAAAAAAAAAAAAGAATGAGATAGAGAAGGAACAAATGGACATACCTAGAGAAGCAGAGAGGAGAGATCATCTGATCCTAAAAAGGGTATCTGTTGGATGACTACTTCCTATGCAATAGGATTCTATATTCTGGAATTAGATTATTAGATATGCCTCTGAATCACTTGAATAAATACCCTTCCTGGCTGGGCGCAGTGGCTCAGGACTGTAATCTCAACAGTTTGTGAGGCTGAGGTGGGTGGATCACCTGAGGTTGGGAGTTCGAGATCAGCCTGACCAACATGGAGAAACCCCGTCTCTACTAAAAATACAAAATTAGCCGGGTGTGGTAGCGCATGCTTGTAATCCCAGCTACTCGGGAGGCTGAGGTAGGAGAACCACTTGAACCCAGGAGCAGAGGTTGTGGTGAGCCAAGATCACGCCACTGCACTCCAGCCTGGGCAATAAGAGAGAAACTCCATCTCAATAAATAAATAAATAAATGCCCTTTCTGTCTACACCCAAAGAGCTGTGCTGAGGAAGTTTTGGTTCTTATCAGCAGAGATCTCTAGTTAAGACAATGGTGCACTTATCAGCCACAGGTTTCCGAGTAGTTAAGGAAGGAAGTACATATCCTGTGGAATATGACGCTGCCTGTGGAATGCAAGTAGAGCACTGAAGCTCAGACTGGCGGCATCAGAGGAACAGGCTGCTGAGGACAAGGCATGCAGCTGGGGTAATGAGGTCCCTACACAAGAAGACTCCCTGTCTACAAAGAGTAAAGTGAAGGGCACTCAAAAGTATTGAGATTTTTAGCTACCTAAGAAAGGGGTACATTCAGCTTCCTACTCTTACTAGCATTAGTTATATTTTTAATATATTATTGTGTAAATGTACATTCAAGATAAGGTGATGAAAAAGTCAAAATCTGGCTATTTGTGATAGTCAAAGCACAGGGTGCATTTTTGGCAGGGACAAATGGCATAGGGATCACAGCATAGAGAGAGATTAGATCAAAACTCTTTTATTTTTCTTACTGCCTCCATCTACCCGCTCTGAATACTAGTGGGAACTCTGCAAGAATTGAATAGTCAAAGCATCAACTACTAGTTATTGCCTTTTTTTTTTTTTTGAGACAGAGTTTCGCTCTTGTTGCCCAGGCTGGAGTGCAATGGCGCAATCTCAGCTCAATCAACCCCTGATTCCTGGGTTCAAGTGATGCTCCTGCCTCAGCTTCCCGAGTAGCTGGGATTACAGGCATGAGCCACCACGCCTGGCTAATTTTGTATTTTTAGTAGAGACGGGGTTTCTCCATGTCAGTCAGGCTGGTCTCAAACTCCCAACCTCAGGTGATCCACCCACCTCAGCCTCCCAAAGTGCTGGGATTACAAGCATGAGCCACTGCACCCAGCCAGTTATTGCCTTTTAAAAATTATTATTATTGTTTTTGAGACAAGGTCTCATTTTGTCACTCAGGCTGGAGTGCAGTGGGCACAATCTTGGCTCACGTAGCCTCAACCTCCTAGGTTCTAGCAATCCTCCCACCTCAGCCTCCCCAGTAGCTTGCTTAGACTAAGACGTGTGCCACCACACTTGGCTAATTTTTGTATTTTCTGAGGAGATGGGGTTTCACCATGTTGCGCAGGCTGGTCTCAAAATCCTGGGCTTAAGTGATCTGCCTGTCTTGGCCTCCCAAAGTGCTCATATTACTGGCATAAACCCGGTAATATTTGGATGCCCAGCCTCTAAAAAATTGTTTTTAAGGGATCTAGATGACATTACAGCACGTGGGCCTGGTGCAGTGGCTCACACCGGTAATCCCAGC